ACAAAACAGCATATCCCCTACAAGCAGGAGCCAAGTGCTGCTGGATAGAAACACTGGAGCGGAGTCAGTGAACTGCTGGAACGGACTGCTAATATCGGAGCGCTGATATCGGACATTTTTTATGCAGTCCGATAAAATCCGATACTCGTTTTTTGGCTGATATCGGACCGATATCCGATATTGATATCGGATCGGGACACCCCTAGCAAACATACTGCAAAAAAGGAAGAACAGAAAGAAAATACATGACGTAGGTTCATGTACAGTATGGACAAAGACATAACTTTTCTTTGAGTAAAAAAAAAGATCAGAAGTACTATAAATCTTCAAATGTAAAAAAAAGTATTTTAAAAATCAGAGAAGTGATCTAAAGCTGAGTGGAAGGCCAAGTGAACCAGATCAATCTAAATGCCCTAAGCAAAATYATAAATTGTGAGGACAGAAGACATGAGAGGGAAGAACAACTTGTGGCTAACTCATCCACAGAAGCACGTTCTGATGTGTTCTGATTTTCACATCATGAGAAAGTACATGAACTRTGTGCAAATGAATTAGTGGGATGAACTGCTGGAACTACCAATGCAGCCCAGTTGTTTTCCTCAGTTTTACTGGCATATCATGAACACATCTACACCATAAATTAAGCAACACCTGACTGGTTTAAGTCATTTTCTAGCCACAGTCAGTTCATCCAACTCCAGTCTTGTTTCCAAATCATCCCTCACAATCACTGGTGTGCCCCAGGGATCTGTCCTGGGGCCTCTCCTCTTTAACGTTCACCTACTTCTTGTTTGTTACATTTTTCACAAATACAACATTCACTTTCTTTGTTAGGTGGATGACACCCAGTGCTAAATTTCCAGTAAACTCAATGTCATCCTCTCACCATCCTCCCTTATCAAATGTTTCAAAGAACTTAAATCCTGGTTTTCTTCCAACATGTTTTTTAACTAAACAGTGATAAAATTGTATTAATACTCACTGGTACAAAATTCATATTATCCAAAGCTGACCATTCTCCTATTTTATTCTACAATACTTTTGTTTTGCCCTTCCTTCAAATTAAGAGTCTGKGTGTCATCCTTGTCAATACTCTTCAGTCCCTTATCATTCCTATAACCAGGTCTGCCTATTTGCACCTTTGCAGCATCAATCGTCTCCGTTCCTCTCTTACCCCTCATACTACTGCTTTACTTGTCCACAGTCTTGTTACCTCTCATATGACTATTGCAATTCTCTTCTTTTTGGTCTTACTCAAAAATCCCTTTAACTGGTTTAGAACTCATCAGCCTGTATCATCACCAGAACCCCCTTCTACAGCCACATTACCCTTGTTCTTCACACGTTTCACTGGTTATCGTTCAAACTTCAAATTGAGTTCAAAATCCTTCTGTACGCATTTAAAGCCATTCATAATCTTGACCCTCCATACTTGTCTGACCWCCCTCCTGTTGTCACTCCATCCCACTCCCTCAGATCTGCCTCATCTCTTCACCTCAGTTTCTCTCACCCGCCTCACCACCATTGAGAGCAAAGCCTCCAGCTGCCCCAACAGCTTTAGAATTCTTTGCCACCCCAAATAAAAAAGTTGGACTCTCTTCCTCTTTTGAAGGCCAGACTCAAAACCCATTTCTTTAGGAGTGCTTACACCAGTTGGTTTTGTACTAATGATGCATTTAATTAGTATTTCTATGTACTACAAGTGTATTTTACTCTTTTAATGTTTTTGTGCATCTGATGCTCTTGCCGGAAAAGCGCCTCTAAATAAAATTTATTAATAATTGTAGTATTTCACAATATAATACATCAATACTGTCAAGAAACCTGGCTGTACCAACCATTATAAGGATTGGAAACAGGCCAGCGGAGCCCGCCTTTGACCCCCAACAGAGAGGAGGACGCAACAGAAAGAGAGGCCATAAGAGAGACCGGGATGCAGGAATAATGGGCCCAAGAGAAGAGAAACGCAGGAAGAAGAAAATGAAGGAGTAATAAGTATTAATTTTGATTGATTTTAATGCTGGCAAAATAAATAACAAGTGTGACAATTATATGCTTATTGCAAAGTGTGATTCAACTAATGTACCGTGATAATTAATGTGTTTTAATGTAAGATGGTGATTTAGGAGAAGTGCTATTGTATGTCTTAAAATGAAGAAGGGTGTGTGCTACATTTGGACGACAAAAAAGGACAGACTGTACTTCTGCAAAACAGAAGAACAATAATAGAAAAAAGGAGAAGTGGGGGTTTTGTCTGGAAAGTCCCAGAGGCGTAAACAAGGTGGTTTACCTCACCACGGAAAGTCCCTGAGAGTCCTATTACAAGAATCAGCTAAATTACTTCACTCTGGAAAGTACATAAAAAGTCCAGTRGTGGAAAAGCCCAGCCTATCACGAGATGACAGAAAGCGGGGTAAGATAGCCCAAAAACAGTATAAAAAGGGAGCAATTTCAGCAGCAAGTCGTCTTCTGGCCCCGTCTGGAGAAGAGGCAGCAAAGGCAAGGACAGCCTAAGAAGAGGAGCAACAGATCCAAGAGACATCTCAGCTGGGACAAGCTGCCACACTGCTCTCCAGCAATCTACAGACCAAAGACCAGATTAAACAACCCAGCTTTGAGAAGTCCTCTCTGGCAACAGTCTGCTGCTTTTCATGGAGGTAAAAACAACTCTACTCCAAATTCCTTGCCATCCCAATTAACAGAAAATGCCACACAGCCTAGTCACAAGGTTAGGTCAGCGTCTTAGGACCTTTTATTTTTACCACCATCAATTATTGTTCAATATTTTTAATCTGTATAATCAAATGTGGCTTTTCTTGCAAATTTCTATTAAACTGCTTACAGCATCATAAAGACAATTCCATGACTGGACATTGGTTCTTGAAGTTTTTCTCTGATTACATGAGAGTGTTGTTACTTCAAAGCAACAAGGTATTAACATATTAAGGAGTATGTTTACTTTAAAGCCAAGAGGTAATGATAAGAGGTCATAACTTAATAATAAGTTCATTTTTAATGGTTATTAGCCTGGGGAGATAGGATAACTCCCTTTAACAGTTCCCTTGAGACCTACTGTCCATTATCTTGGTCATTGTAAGAAGTGCAGACCCTAAGAG